TAATATATAATATATATATATATACATATCAATATTATATTGTAGCAAAACATCGTGAGTAACATAGTTTAGGCTTTACAAAGATTTTATATTAAATATTTTTAAATAGTACTTAAAAAATTAATATTGAAGAACACAATAATTTTAATTACATTAGTTTCAGATTTAATATCGAATTTGGTCGCTATAAATTCATTCTTGGAAGGCAATTTCAAGTCCGAGTTATAGCCAGCGTTATTCCACATATCCATTGCTTCCTTGGATATCTTCTCTTTCTTGTATTTAGTACCATACCATCTTTCGGTATCTTTTGCTATATTTTCGTATGCTTTCGCGGCAATGTGAATTCTGATCTTTTCCGGTGTCAAATATTTTATTACTTCTCTAATCAAATCCGGTTGCCATTCGGTAATAGTATTTTCTGCACACAAAACTTCTTTCATGGGATACGCATGCAGACTTCTAGCTATAAAATATACGTAACGAAAAAGAAAACCCTTCTCCTTAAAACGAAAATTCATATTCCTAACGTCTCTATATTCCTGTAAATATACAATCATATTGCTTCGTGTATAATATATAATTTTAAATTATAGAAGGTCCAATAAATTGTGGTACCACGATCTGCCAGACATTCTATATACAATTACGTTATTTTATTTTATCAATTACATTATAGATCCGTTCGACTGGGCCATTCAATTTGAGCATATTGATATACTGAAATATCATTTGAACAATGTCTTCAATATGCTCAATACCTTGCTCGGTTAAATCAGCAGAAATAGAAAAAAACCTGATGCCTTTAGCTTCCTTACGGTGTTCAGCTTTCAAAAAGTTACACCAATACTTGGCTTTCAAAGCTGACAATAACGAACCTTCTTTTTCGCTTCCAAGCAAATAAGAAACGTAATATGCGGGCTATATTAAAAAGTAAATATAAGCGTCAAATAAAATATACAAGTACTGTATTATAATTATTATAGTTTGTTTGATGCTTATACTTATTTCCATTATTTCCATATTATATATACACATATATAATAATATGCGTAAATATAATGTATAATAATATTATCATACACGATATATAAAATTATTTAAAAAAGACTCGCGCGCGCGCGTGTGTGTTTGTATGTGTATAAAAATAAAAGAAATTACCGATGATCTGTAATAATTCTGTAAATCAGGCAAAGGAAACCATACAGTTAAGAGACTTATATTCTTTATCGGAACAATGTACCATATTGTGCCAAAGTGCTCATCTTTGAATGGATGTTCAGTCAACACTGGAGATTCAATTTCATTGTTTCGTATTTCACAAAAGAGATTTACTACCATGTTTTCGAGTTTATCTAGACTCTCTAAACATAAAATTTATTTGTTAATATGTAATAAATATCAGAAATATATAAAAAAATTACAATTTGTTCATGAAAAAAGAATTAATTTTATTTAAAAGTCAAAACAAAAATATCTATACGTATTATCTTATATAATTTGAGATATTTAAATTTTTTAAAAATAAGTCAATTTCTTTTTCTTATTTCAAATAAACGTGAAAATTTTGTAGATATTTTCAAAAGCAAGACTTTAGCAATTTATACAAATATTTTTCTTCTTAAATCTTTTTTTAAAATGGGACAATGTATAGATATTAAATAATAAAAGATAAAAATGTATAACTTATAAAGAGATGTTCCTTTGCTCAATTTATATGTATATACCACAAACTTAAATATCTTTAAACAAGAAAGAATATTTTAAAAGAATATTCTATTCATGAATAGATTTTTGTATATCATTTTCATACCTTTGACCAAGAACAACACAGTGACATCATATTAGCAGAATAATATTTCTCATAAAACTCAAGTAGTCTATCTCGAACATTAATGCCCTTTTGTTTCGGTATTGTATCTAATGTTTGTCTATTGCCTATGCCGAATTTTGAAAACGGATGATCGGCGCTCGCAGACGATCTGTTCAACTGCTTAAATCGCCAAGTATCATTTCTTAAATTTTTCTCATATTCTAAATTTATGATGTTTATCGCGCTTTCGATCATGGTTTCCCCGAAGAGAGGTGCTATGAAAAACTGCGCAAATCGATCTAAAGCATCTTCCAACTTTTCTGGTGTTATGTCGAAGAAGTAACTGGTGTGATCTGTGTCTATCATGGCATTGGACTTGCCGCCGTTTTGCGACAAGTACTTAGCGTAATCATTTTCTTGAGGATATTTCTTCGTTCCCAAGGATAACATATGTTCGCAAACGTGCGCTAACCCAGGCAAATCATCGGGATCGCACATATGACCTGTAATATATTTTGTTTCTAATTAATTCATCATGAAAGCGATAATTTTATAATTGTTAATAAAAATATATAAATTCTTTATTGATATTGATTATTATCTATCTAAGATAAGATATAATTAACAGAACATAAAATCAGAATATAAAATCTCAAAACATGGAACTTATAGAAAATAGAAATACAAAATTTTTTAATGTAAAATAAAGTTAATATATTAAAGAATTTTAAATATATAAGGACTAAAAAAGTATTCTATATGATTTCTATATGATTTGCGTCATGCTATCTACATATAATACATATAAGATAAATAATTTTAAAGTTTTCTTCTATGATAATTTTTATAAATGTCATAGGTATAAAAAATATAATTACCAATATTAACATCCATTGTAACAGCGCTTCTATCAGTTGTTGGATCGCTGATTAAAAGTACTTTCATTTTATTAGAGAGTAATAATCCCCTGTACAATCGATCGTCATTTTGTGATTTTATTATATCATCGTATCGTTTTTCCACACATTTATCAGTTGACATATTGGTCGTTGAAGTTTTGAATTCGGGAACTTTATTTCTAAATATAATAAAGAAAAACAAAAAGACTTTAAAGTAAATAGACGTGACTTTACTGATCAATTATGTTTATAAATATATATGTTTATAAATAATAATAAAAGATATTTAAATTAATACAAAACTGTAACTTATAAAAAAATTATTTGTCTAATAATCTCATCTCAAAACATTTGTTTGTTAGTATAAAATACATGAAATGTTATAATGTTATATAAAAAATATTTAATAGTAAATAAAATGTTGAACAAAGATATTTAGATATTAGAAGAAATATTAATAATATGAAAATAACTAAATATAAAGAAAAAAATATTAACTTCATTTGCTTTAATCGAATAGAATATCAAAATGTATATAAATATATAATAAATAATTCAATTATTAACGTTTATAAAAATTCATTGTTGCAACAGAAATATTTCGATCTTAATATTGTCGCCTTTAATAACAGTAAAGACGAGACAGTTTAATTTATTTTTAAATAGAGATAAATTAAATAAAAATAAAAAATTATTCCTGATACATATAAGACATGTCAAAGTTGGTTAATAGAAAATTCGAGGCGCCTAACAATTATCTAACATATAAAACAGATAGATGAGAAGAGAGTAACAATACCTCATTTTAATTCGAAAATGATGAATTCGACGAATATGGTAGGCCTTGTCAGGTGCACATAGGTTCGAGTATGCGGATGATGGCAAGTGATGTGCTCACGTCTGCAGAGAAACGTAACATGAAAAGCAAACTGTGCGAATATGTGCGGCACTGGATTTTATAATAATATGACATGTAGAAGATGAACTTATAAAGTCGAAGGAAAACATGAAAAAAATTGGGTATATATATACGATTGTATTGACGAGAAGCGATCGACAAGGCTTGAAGTTATAAGCGCGAACTCACCTTTACTCTTCAATATTTTTGAAGGATACAAAATTTAAATTCAAACGAGGATGCGTTGAGACCAAAATTACATTTTAATAAATCAAGAAAAAATATGTTGCCATATTTTTTGCAATGATTAAATTTTGTTGGCTAGATTTATTAAAATTTAAAACACAAAATTTACTTTTGATATATTTATATTTTATTTATAATTAAATAATTTCTTTTAGAAAAATTTGCAAGCACATTAAAAATTATTTATTCAAAGCATTTAATACAATTTATCTTGATAAAATTGAAATAGTATAATACAATAGATATATGATAATTACGGGAGATAATTATTTTTTTAATAATGATCAATCTAATCCATATACCTCACATTGCGCTTTAAAATTCTTACTGGCTTGTAATGAAGTGAACGACGATTTGAACTGTAATTTTCATGCTATTTTGTAAGCATATATATGTAGCGACAATTAATTATTATGACAATCGTTTATTCGTAACACAGATAAGATATATGAGACACATCTATTTCAGACAAATCATAGCAAATCTATTAAACAAAGAAGTAGATGTACGATATAATAATTTATATAATTACTTAAATTTAATTATTTAAAACAAAAGATATATTTAAAATGTAATAATTATAGTATTCAATGTTCAGTTATAAAAAGACACCTTGTAGCGTCTCGTGTCAGTGTTAGATATTATTTGGATTATTATCGAATATTTCGTCGTAGCCACATTGTATTAATGGTGTCGCCTTGAGCATTCTTTATGCGCCGTGTCTGCGCACGCGCACCGTACGTACGGCGAGTCGTGTCCCGCCGTCCCGCGTGCTACCATTCATCGACCGCCATTCATACAGGCAGGTAGCAGTGCGCGTAGCTCCGCGTATTTCTTTGCATTTTTTCAATGCTCGATAATACCAAACCTTGCTGTATTCATAATATAACACTACGAATATAACACTACGAATATAACACTGTAATCATAATATAACACTACGAATATAACACTAAATGCTTATTAATGATTGATTCGCAAGTGTATCGAAACGATGCCTTTCTAATAAAGTATCATACATATCTCGCGCGATTTATTTCTTTGAAGTTTATAACTTTTTGTAAATGACAACTCCTCCGATTACGGGTACGATACGGCCTTGACGTGGCGGAGGGGTTGAGTATTCCGAGGGGTTTCGTACCCCCAAAGACGAAGAAACAAAATACCCGTTGCATCGTTATATAACTTTAATATTAATGTTAGATGTAATGTTTAATATTAATGTTATTAATAATGTATTAATATAGCATAACCACAAGTTGTCAATTATATTACTTAATGTTATCGAAAGATATTGTAACGTGGAAATTAAATTTTCTTTGTAATATTGTTGAATATTTCGTCGTAGTGAAATTGTTATAGCCGTGAGTTGTCTTACGCTTTATACAATAAAAATCATAGTATAAAAGCCTAATATAACTGAAATCTGCCAGTAAAACTGTGGTAAGTAATTAATATAACATATTTTTGCCAAGTGTTATACTGCTATGAATATTCGCAATTGTGTACAAAATTGTTAATTATTGTAAGTAACAAGTGTCATAATATTCGATTTGCTTTTTATACTACTACTTTAAAAGAGAATATATCATGCTGCAACATAAAATTATATTTATTAAAAATATAATTCTATCTTCTAATCTATAATGAATATAATATTAATTATGACATTTTATTTTAATATTGTTGTTTTACATTTACTTTGTTAAACGAAATAATCTCTTTTTCACATGCGTGTGTAAATATATATAGCGTGTAGAAATATATAAATATGTGTGTATATATACATATTCGTATAAATATGATAAATGTACATATTATATTAATCAGTACTATAACTAGCGTGCAGGGAGCTTTGATGATCTCACGAAAAATCTTACATAAATAACATGCTTTTTATAGAAAGAAAGGAAAATAATAAAATAATGTACGGAATTATGTAATAAAAGATAATAATGGAATATTTATTTATAAAATTTGCTATATAATATAGCTTATACAATTTGCTTATATAATATAGCATATATAATTTGATTGTATATAAATTGTAATATAAATAAATGCTTACTTCTATATCAAATAATGATTTATACATATATAGACTAATGCTGTAGAAAAAATAGTTTGTAGAAAAATTGTAAAATCTCTATAAAATGGTGAGAATAACGATGGAGCCATATAAAGGGACCTAATGCGAATTCTCAACTAACATGATATATATTACTATTATTATTTTGATTTCATTGTTCAACGAGATTCTAAGTTTATTATGGCGATCTGGACGGATATTTTAAAAGGCCTCTCTCAGTCTTTCCCATTATAAAAGTCTAACTTTGTCATCAATTATTTTGTACATTATTAAAATGCTCTAAGAAAGGCGCTACACATATAAGATAATCAATTTCATATAAACGTAAGAAATATAAAATTAGATTTTGTTTGATGCAATCTAAAATCTCTTTTTTTTAAACTTTACAAGTCTTTCTTAAAAATAAATATAATTAAATATATATCGTAAAAATACACACATCATAAAAATCTTTAAGGACGATTACGAATTCCGAAAATACGCAAACGATATATGAATTCCATCCATATAAGAAACAAATTTTGTCTTCTTAGACATCCGTTGAAACTTTTCGATTTTATATAATAAAAGGACTGGAGAATTATGTGTTACCCTTAAATGATTTATGCATTCTTACTTAGAGTTTTATGAGTAAATGGAAATAGAGATTCTCTCCCTCTAATGTACTTTGGTGACAATAGATGTATACGTATTGCTTCCGTACATTGTGCTTTTCTTTAAGGCTTCTCTTTAAGGCCATAAAAGTTCTATGTTTGGAGACTGCAGTTTTGCAAGTATTCTGTACATTGATAAAACAACTATCCAACAGTATATCTGCAAAAAAAAAAGAACGCAAAGGATATGAAGACCAAAAATAGCTTTGATAATCCGAATAGTTTATAAACAAAGTACACTTACGTTGTAAGACATCCAAAGCCAATTACATAATGTCGCGAATACAGAGTCCAACTGGAATAAAAACATGACATAAAAAAATGATATGATTACAAGTGTTGAATGATAAACAAGTCATCGTTAAAATAAAAAAAGAGAACTCACATAAATATAATAACCGCCTAAGAGCCACAATCCGAAGATTAATTGAAATAGGCAAACGATGAACCATCCAACAAGCCATGGCAATAACCACCCACGTACACCTTCTTTTACACCGTAAATCATTATGAAAGCGCAAATTATCAACAGAAGTAGATAAGTAATGAGGATGCCTCCGACAACTTGCATAGCTAAAAATTATATATATTTTGTATTTTTTTACACAAAGTTTGAACTTTATTGAAAATTGTTTAATTCACATAATTCCTTATCATTGAAAAATTCACTAAATGACTTGAATGCATCAATACATAGTTCCGTAAATATGCCAATAAATTTTAAAGATTTGTTTTGTTTGATTATATGTATTAAACCATCTTCAGTAAAGTTCAAACTCTCTTTTTAATTCAATTCTCTTTTTGTTTTATGCAAAATTTTATGTTAAATCCTTAATAAGAATATTTTGCGAATAGCAAAAGCAAAAAAAAGATTATTTAAGCCAAACAATGAGTTCTTATAAACTTCTTAAGAATTTCTTTTCTTTCTTGTAAATGTTTGATTTCCTTTTTAATTGACGTGGAATTTGCGATTATTTTTGTTATCGCTTATGACGTGTTTTTTAATAATAATAATTAATGATTAAACATTGCTCAAGTTTGCGTTAGCGAAAGTACAATTTTGAAACTCTTCGTAATAATGAATTATATATAATTTTAACTTCTCAAAAGTTTTCAACTTTCTTCGAAATATTATTATTACATATTTAAATTAATTTCATACTTACACCCTCTCACATCAGCTTCAAACAATGGATTATATATTTGCGTGGAATCGCCACCAGTTAGTTGATAGGATATTAGCGTAATTAGCACTATACTAATTGCCTAAAAAAAATTAGATATTGATTTAGGTTTTTATGATATGATATAAGTGCAGTAAATTTTAAAACATTAAAATTATATTTTATTAGATTTTAACATTATTTCTAAGTTTATAACTTTTTAGTCAATTGAAAGACGCTCACCACTGTGTAAAACGCTATGGCGTTGCAACCAGTCTTGATATTATTCGACCAGATGCATGGCGACCAACAAGATTCCACGATTGGCATTGTTTACACTGAAATTAGAATTCGGAATTAAAAAACATAAAATATTCTCAAATTTCACCGGCTGCGATTATATTATCGAGCGGCTGTCACAAAACTTGGGCGTCGACAAGCATCAGAGTTACCAACGTAAATACGACGCATTGACGAAATTACGTTTGTAGAATCATTATAAAAATTAAAACAAAATTATATTGATGCATAAAATTAATTCAAAACCCAGACAAATATAAGTTAATATTTACTTACAATACTTTCGAATGTCTATTTTAAAGATACATCAGAAGTGAGCTAATAGTTGACAGTATTGCAAGTCCATGCTACAAGAAGCGGAGTAATCAATTGAGATGCGCACATTGAATTTTAACTACGTAAAATGATCAAACACTATATAAGAAAACTAAAACATATTAATAATTTTTAAACAAAATACGAAATTTTTTTCTCAATACGATATTGATGCTAAAACTTGGGATACTGAAGATCACACGTTCTTCATTGCCATGACACACGATGTAACAATATATCAATCCATGTACACCAGCACTAAGTCATTTTCAAAAATTGTTCTTTTCTCGATCATACTTACGTTTTCTGCGAGATAAATGTGGAAAAAGTGAACTTAATTGAATTTCTTCCACAATCGTGAACTGCCGCCACGATCACCAAGATTCGAATGCTTGAATCGTTCCGGAATAACAGCAGAACTGGCAAACAGTGCCATACACGCGTCGGTAGACCTACAGTTAATGGCGGCGAGTCATCATTAAGAATCCCCTCCACTTTCCAAGCAGGTTATGATGCCGGCTGCTCCCTTTTCTCAAAGTCTATGTCGAGCTACCAATACTCCAAACAGTTGGCTAAGGATATCATGCACAATGTGTCATGGCTGCAACTATATCTATATAACTAAGGAAGTCATTTAACTAAGGAAAATATTTAGAATTTCAAAGAAATTATTTTAAAGAAGCACACTTATTTATTTCTTTCTCTTTTTTATTTAATACAAAGTACATTCAACATGTTAACGTAGAAATTTAATGTATCGTTAATTAAATATACAAAGATGATTGTAGCAAATTTTATTTTTTATGAATAAAAGTCAACTCTAGCTTTCCTTTATTAGTTTCTTCTTTATCAGTTTAATAAATTTACTGATACAACAAATAAATTGAATCAGTCCGCCAGTTAGTGACACAGTGCAGCTGATATCAAATATAACCAGAGATCGCTATGTAGTATCTTTAAGGCGCCAGGTTTAAAAATACGTGTCCATCAGTTTAAACTTATTTATATCAACTTATTTCTGATATATGATTATATTTATAGTATTTATAGATTTAAAGTATTATATTTATTTATCAGTGTGATATCATCAAAGTGTAATAAATTTTTGAAAATCGGGAAATGTAAATGGATACGTAAAAATGCAATTATAGCTTTCTATGTAAAAGTTATTTTTTTATATTGACAATATATCAAACTTGAACAATATTTAACAAAAGAGTGCAATATCTGCTATATAAAATAATTTAATCCTTATGAAGGTTAATGCTGATTTATCAATTTATCAATTTATCTAACAAGCAGGTACGACGAACTCAATGTAATAATGCTATCGCAATCATTATTTACACAGCGATTTACTATCTATTAATATCACAGTGCAAGGTCAATCAGGATAGAAATAGAATTGGCCACACTTATATCTCCTATTAAGCCATACGTTTGAAGGGTAGCGCAAACGTTACTTTGTAATTCGTTGCGTACTTCAAAGATCATGAAACCTGTTGGGCAAGTAATAATTTGCATGATTCTTGCATTGTAGAATCTATTTTAATAATTTCTTTTGCCAATGAAATAGAAATAGCAAGATTAAAGTTATATATATTTATAAAAATTAAATAGAAAGAAAATATTGATTGTTTCATTGTAAAGATTTATAGATGTATACATATGTGTATTTATAAATGATACATATATATTTATAATCAATTTCTTTCCTTTTTATTTAATTTACTTAATAGATTATTTTTATTCTAAATTCTTCTTCTAGATTTATTCTTTTATTCTTTCTTCTCTTTTATATCTAAATAATTTATTTAATATATACAGTTATAAGCAATATACAGTTTTCTAATAAACAAATTTCATTATTATTCATAATAATTTTGTAATAGTTTCATCACTATGTCGTTTTTATTAGCAAGTCATATTAACGTCATTGGTGATTAATCCGCGGAAAATGTAGTGCAATGGTTTCGTATTACTCGGCCGCGGTTTCTGCGGTAGGTCGCCATTTTGGTACCGCAAAGGGAAACAGAAACCGGGTAGACTCAGTAATCAGCGATAATTCGATTACCAAAAAAAAAAAAATGTGGGCGATACGAAAAGTAATATACGTATTTTACCGTTTTACGCTTTCACAAAAGACGGTGTAACTCAATCAAAATAAAATAAGTAATATTAAAGAATAAAGTAATATTAAATAAATAATATTTTTTACTTTAATAAGTAATATTAAAGAAAAACAGCATTATCGAAAGGTCAGGAAAATCAGTAAAAATTCTGGACAGATACGTTCAAATGTTTGCTTTTGTAATCGATGTGCGCGGAGACCAGAATGGTTTGTTGATTGGCCGTCATTGTCGGCCAGCCATGAGAAATTTCACGGGGCTCTATGAAATGATAAAATCTATTCACTCCAGGGAGGACAGTGCCTACATGCGTCTATAAATCCTCACTGTCATTGGGCGCAACAACGAAGAACGTAATGGATCCAGACGTTCCTCGAGATAGCGGTGCTCTAAGACGCCATAGATCATCAACAAGCAGGATTAACGTCATCGGGATTAGCAATATTAGGTGCAAAATATTTCCAGCCGGAAACGCCAGGACAGATAATTCGAAAAACAAGAACTGATTGAAATAATAATGAGAAAATGGAATATGGTTGAACTGTTATTATTAACACCGTGAAAACATTTCTTGAAGAGAATGAAGAAAATAATTTTTTTTTTGAAGATATGAATTATCTACACTCATAAAATCCTACATTCCATTTTACTCTAGATATCTGGGGTTCTAAGTCAATTCTTGTTTTTTATCAAATAAATTTCCTCCGAATAAAGCAGCACGTTATTCATGAATTTGTACACTGATGATACATAAGTTTAAGCTGATACATAAGTTTAAGCTTCTTAGTAATCTTATCATTAGAAAATCGGCAGCTTTCAAACGCGAAGCAAGAGACATATCTTATAGTTTCCTGCTGATGTCGACTGATGAAGAAGCTATAAATACACGTGTGTGTGTGTATTATACGTGCACGTTGATACGGATACCCCCATTATCTTCATTCTTCTGTAACATTTTCTCACCCGCTCCCATATCGGCTTCCTCCCGATAGCTTCTTCAGCATCCGCTGGACCACTGTAAACTGCCTCTCAATTTAGGCGTCCAACTCGAAGCACCACGCCAGCTGCACACTTGCGCAGCATTGTCAACGTTGCCATCTTGTCGAGAAGGTACTTCAACGGTGTCAATGATTGGAACCAAGACAACTGTGGCCTGGCAACGTCGCGGAATCTTCACCAACACCCGGCACGTGGTTCTTCTCTCATGCCTTGATCAAATTGAGCAAATCGGAGTAATCAGTGAACTCAGCAGTCACTCCGTCGTCCCGCCGATGAACGCAGACGATTTCGAACTCATGCACGTATGTATTGTGTTCGTGACTGTTTACCCGACTTGTTGATCAAAGATCTATTTATTACGACTTTTGGCTGACATTTATTTTCTTTGAATTAATCCTGCATTAAACAATTTAGTCACGTCTAGCATATATGTTGCAAAAACATACGAAGATGCATCTTATTAAATAATAATTTTAAAAAGAATGCTTTCTGCTCTAATGTATGTGTTAATTTTTAAAATTGTGAGCATATAAACACAATTCCTGTAGACTGAATTTAGATGTTGCAATGGGTTTGTATCGTTAAGAGCGTTTATAACAGACTTCAAAATGATTATCTTTGTGATAAAACTGTTATCGCACACCTGTCTCGGCTGTTTAATTTTGCAATCAGCTGGTTTCTGGAACGGAAAATATTTCGGGGAGCATATTATCTGACGCAGGAATGCGCTATTTGTTTGACTACCGACTAAATTTAATGTAATTCCTCCGGTGCTTGTAACTGCTTGAGTGAACTTGATGTACTTGGAGTATTAGAGTCACTCAAGTTGAACGAAATATCAAACAGAGAAAGAGAAATAGAGAAAGAACAAAGAGGTTAAAATATGCCACGTTTATGTTAACTCTATTTTAACAATAAATGTTAAATTTAATTATAAGAAATTAATTAAACGTATAAAAATACCGTAATGTATTAACGAGAATATTGGAGCGTGTAGGAAAAATTTTTTTCTTCGCTTAAAATATTGTTGAGTACGAACTCTTGGTTGACATGAATTGTATTTACGAATGGAAACATGACCCTTCGCATGTTCAGCCAACGATAGTATGACGCCAGATAGATACGCAGTCTGACAGAGTCGAAGAAGTGATAACGGGATAAGATTTATATCTTGGGACTACAATCTCGTTTGCAAGCACTTAAATTTATTTTTTAAAGTTTGTTTATTTGAGCTACATTTATAATATGTGAAAAATATTGCAAAGTTTTAATGTTAAATAATATTGTAAGAAATTAACATAATTAGTTACGAACTATTGTCTTCGATCATCACTACAATTATTTAGTACTCTGTTTTCTCATGTAATTAATTTTTTACACAAGCTATTTTTTTAAAATCATTTTTGACGTAACGTAAAATATATTCCTTTATAAATATTAGAAAGCCTATAATTGTCTTAGTGAATCAGCGGTATTAAAAGAAAGTGTAGGCGTTAGTATCAAGACCGAAATATCGCATGTTCTGGATACCGAATCACGTGCTCTCAGATCGCGTGGAAATCACTTTGCTTCGGAAGCTAATAGTGGCAGAAGTCCGCCAGTTACGTGACTAATATCTTAATATATTCTGCGAAATATTTAGCCGGCGTGGCGCGGGAGCAGCCACGCGATGTGTTGTTTGAATCCGAGATCTCTCCCGCCCAAGCGAAATAAGAACCTCAACTAAGGAGCCTATAGACGCACGCTCGTAATGAATTTCTCGGTAATGCCAAGGCTTTAAATTAAAAGAGAAATGAAAAAAAAATTTCTACAAAATATTAAATATTAAAAATATAGATCTAACGAAAAAAAAAAAAGATACAATTCTTTATATAATTAAAACTTGGTTAATTATTATGAAAAGGGTAGTTTTATTTTATTTATTTTAATTGTACATTCAATTCGATAACAATTGACATCTAAAGCTATCAGTCCAATTTATATAAAAAAAAATTTATATAAAACGTATGTAGCTTAAATGTAACAAAACTGTTGTTGTTAATGTTGAATACGTGGTCGGCAAGGAAAATCTCAGCCGAGTCGTTGTATCCTTCGCGTTCGTTGGTCACCTTTCGCCGAGAGAGAGAGAGAGAGAGAGAGTTAGCACGAAGAGGGCATATGAGCCCCTCCGGTCAGATTAGGCCCCGTCGGGCCCCTCTCGCTCGCGCTCCGCGCCGTCGGAGCCGTTCCTTCGTGCCGGTTCGTGCTGTCGGGTCCGCCTTACCTCATGGTGCATACGCGCCATGGTCTCTCGCGTCGAGTCGGGCCAGCGCCTCATCGTGGTATCCAGCTGGCTTCGGACGGCCATTCGTCGGTCCCGTCGGCTCGCGAGAGGAAACGGTGACCGAGCGGTGCCTCGGCGCGGCGCGATCTCGCGCGTCGTGCCATCGTCGTCGTCGTCGTCGTCGTCGTCGTCGTCGTTGCCGTCGCCGTTATCATCGTCGTCGTCATCGCCGTCATCGTGAACGGCACACCGAACTGAGCCGAGCACGGACTCTCTTCGTACTCTCTGATGTAACCCCCTTCTCTCTGCACCCGTGAAACCGCATTGCGGCCGCCTCATATCGCCGCGATTACGCACACACGCTCGAGAGAGTCGCGGCGAGCGGTCCCAACGTCCGCGATCCCGTAGATCGCCCGCGATCGCCTGCGACGCGTCTTCGCGCGCGCGCGTCGGGAGTCTGCCGCCGGGACCGATCCACGCTGATCGAGGCCGGAGCCGATTCCGAGAGTGCGTCTTTTGTGCGCGGCCCTCGCCTTCCTCCGGGAGAAAAAGGACCCCTCGCGAGTGAACCTGCATTCAGATCGACAGCGATCGAGACGTCTTCTAAATGGTTCGAGCGAACCGAAGTCTCGTGCTTGAATCTTAAAGATCTAATTTGTGGATTTTTGTGCGTCGACTTTTTCTTCTTTTTTGAAGCTCGTGAGGAATATTGAAATTTTTGGAGAGAATTTTGCACACTGGGGATAAGATGTAAACGAATGTGGGAGGGATGCTGATCGATAGAAAATTTCTTAGTCCACCGACTTTGTGTGTTAAGTGATTCATTCTTTCAGATGATTGCGAGAGAAAGAGTGAAGTCGAAGTCGACGGGATTGAAGTACGGTGGGAAAGTACGATCTGCAATTCGTATCATGCGAAATCGTTTCTCGATATCGCAAAGCGAAAAGAGACTACTCCGATATATAGATCATAATTTTCATAGTGATTGATCATAATTCACGCTGGAGCATCGTTTCTTTCCAACTCGGAGGCATGTACAAAATCCTTTCGATTCGAACTTCTAATACAATTCAGATCAGGCCGTTCAATGTTCCATTAAGTTCGCAATCACAAAGTGTAATCACAAAAAAAAAAAAATCGTAAATCGTTCATTGCAATCGTAATTCGCGGGTTCTTTTTCGATGTTTAGACTCGCGTGACAGCGCGATCAGGTGATAAACCGGAAAGAAACGATTTGAAGGCGGAATCTGGAGGAAGTAAGGTATCTAGATTTGTAGAACGACTGCGTTGTGCTGCGATGTGTGCCACGGATATACGTTGTGCCAGCGCGCGCGGTTGAGTAAGATCGACTCGGTGATTTGACTGGATCTCTCCTTCATGATCGGGATTGAGATTGCTGATTTTCCCGAGTGATTGCCGCGAACGTCGCGGTGTGTGTGCACATGTATGTGGTGAACGCGGGTGCACCGACGAAAATCCGCCGGTTCTCGACTGCCGAGTGTTCGACTGCTGGTGATACATTTCCCTGACGGATTTCTGATCATGGATCTGCTTGCTGTCGCTCAGCGATTGTTGACTTTTTCAAGTGGAATCGCGCGAAGGGCATTGGCGAAAGTATTTTCAATCATCTGCAGTAGTAAGTTCGCCATTAATCTATAATAGCATAGTATCAGCGGCCGGATCTTGCACTGTAGGAATGTGTGAACGTGTCGGATGCGAGCTACAACTCGGAGATCAGAGAACGCGATAGTCTTAACTTTATGGATGTTGTACGGATTAGATCCCAAGTATTCGGAAACGAGCCGAGATTCTTATGCGGGATGAAACGTGAGAGGTTTAAGGAATGATCTTAGGATAAAAAATTTTAGGTTTCTGTAAACCTTAAAATTCCAAAGCCCTACAATTAATTAAAATTAAATTAAATTAAATTAAACAAAAGTTAAATTAAATTAAAATTAAAAATCGAAGTTTTCCTCTGTTAGATTCTGAGTTATCCTAGTGTTAGATTCTTACCTTGATTTAGTTAAATAACTCGCTCCAATATTAACTTTATATTGATATTAAACACTTGATTGTTAAATACGTTTCAGAATCTCTTTTCCTTCAATTTGTTTCCAGATAAGATTTAGATATGAGATTTGAATAAAAAAGAAATAGAATAAAATAAAATATCACAAAATTTAAATATGAGAATCGAAGATGGAGGTACTTTGTAGATATTTTACTATCGAAAATCCAAGTATAAAAAAATCGATGCGTGAGATTCAATTCAGCAATTCGCCTTTTCGTCTTTTTGCAAACGCCGAGTCCCTTGCACTTGCAGCGCAATGCGCGCTTTCTTGGCCCTGAAATCGTGCGCGACGCGACGCGACGCGACGCGACGCGACGCGACGACGCGACGACGCGATTCGCCAGCGCGTCCTTGATTGTCGCTCGATTAGTATCCGCGCGCGGCGAATCGCCCGTTATTGAAGAAGGAAAAAGTATCGGACGTCGTTCCGGTTGGCCGTTTCGGTTCAACGGCCCGTCCTGAAACGGCCTGTACCAGAGGCGGCTGCACGCGTTCGTACGAGCGCGAGCGCGCGTGATGCACAATACCGATTCTTTGCACGTTGCGACGAGCGAAGGAGCGTGCGGCTTCCGGGATTGCCTGGGATTACCGGTGAACTTTCACCGATCGAAAAAAAATGGCGATGTTTTCCGCTCGAACAACGCCATGGACCGAGCGAACGTTATATTCATAAATGCTGGCGCGACCTTTTCTATTGTCTTCATATCCTGTGATCTACAATATTTTTTCCTTCTCAAACTGACGTCCAACATAGAATATATTTTTGAGGAAATATACATGAGTGGAAATAATATTCTTTATTCAACGCGATACTTTTCAACTTTTTTTTTGTTTCAACAATGTAGTCTTAATAAATTTCTGACTAACGGAACGTATTTCTTAATTTTTCCTAATTTTAAAAAATTAATACACATTGGTTATAAAGTTGATTCTCAGAATAACGATATATTTTGTAAAATTTTCAATATTTATTATGCTTATCGAATATTTACTTTTTTTCCTTAAATTATTTATCCAAGTACAACGCTATCGAGCGTGAAGTACGAATCGTCTTAAGGAACAGCAAAGAAAATAAGAAGAAATTCCATTGCGCGACTCATTGCTTCTTACAGTTGATTATACAAATGGCACAAGTTTTATTTTTTTTTACTAAGTTTATTGTATCCGTGGTTACGTAAGCGTCTAAGGAATTTCGCGCGTAAACGCAGCAATCAGCACCTGATATTCACACTTGTATTAAAACAGCTGCGAGTGTGCGCGCAACTCAGATTTCCTCCACTGCAATCTTCTCATCTCTTTCAAATCCGATAAATGTGACAATCATCTCGTAATTTATTACAACAATCAATAAAAAAATTTAATTATTAATTATTAATAGGGTTTAAATAGATTACTTCGAGTTTTAAACGAATTTTCAATTAAAGTAATTTTTAATTAATTCTCTTTAAAAAATAAAATATGTAATGATAATTAAATATAATATCATAAACTAGCTTAAATTTTTAATAAAAAAGATTCAATTCTTAGTTTTTATTTACAAATATTATATAA